AATCCTCTCGTTTCTTTCATTGGTGTGCATCTACTGATACTCTTTGAATCTCATCTGAATAATTCTGATGAATGATGTCACTTCAATTGGCTTCTATGAGAAAGTTCTGTCATTATTAATCTAGTTGTTTTAGTGGACAAAGATCACTCCCACGATGTTCTGTTAGCCATGATCGGCTATTGTCCTCCTGAGCTTATCCATTGGGTAGTTCTAGTCTGAGTAAGTGGCCTACTAGTTTGAAAACCATATAAAATGTTTGTGTGACACTCACTTGCTTGTGCTGCGTTTTTTGGGTTGCGCTTTTTTTAAATTTCACTTGCTGTGAGCGCGAATAAACCAGATGCAACTCTCAATTGCGCTTCTACAACACTGGTAGCTAGGCTAATGTCATATATTCTCTCACGTTTTCCTCCAAACAGCATCAACAAAACCGTGATAAGTATCCCAACGACCGCGTAACGGAGGTGTTCTATTCATCCAGTCTGTGTGCTAGCTCTAACACTGCTTCTTATTCAAAGCATCACATACTTCTACATGAACTGAATTTCACACGCCATAATTTAAATTCCCTGTAAAGAATGACCTTTTCCGGCGTCATTAACACCACAGCGTGACGTTGATTGGTTGTCAACATGCGAATAGCAACACTGGCACACCTGAACAATAACCATACGGTTTTCCGCATCGTCATCCGCTACAGAACAATCATGTTGCACACTGATGGTACATAACTTGGCTTTTGGATTGTGTATTCAACGAAGCATTATTTTCTTGTTAATTGCAGGCACATATACCCGTGCTAAATAGGGAACGTGCATGGGAGCCTATTCTTACATCCCCAACAAATGAAACCGACAAACATTGAAGCTTGCTCCGGTAGGACGTTCCCGGTTTCCTAACTGAGGTTTAAAGGACACTGAGCACCTTTGGTTGAATATGTTATCTGAATTGAGGAAAAGTAGAAACCAACGGTGCTCTTTGTTTCGGTGTAATGCCTTTTCTCCCCACGTCTCTCTTTTTTGCATTACATAACCTTCAACTTTCTGATTCTTACTTGCTGTGGCACGTTAGCTGATTTATCTAGCTTCTACCTTGTGAAAAGTGTATATCCTGAAAAAACTGATTTACTGGATTCTTAAGGTTTTGTGATGCAGTTAGCTTGAGGTCTTGCCTCAGCGCTTGAAAGTGAAAAACGAAAAGGCGGCTGAAGAAGGGTGATGGCACACCTGGTCAACTGAAAGGTTTCGATTCACAACGATTTTACTCAGTGAACTCCCGGATTTGCTTCTGACTGTAATGAGAGAAGTTTATTAGGTTAAGATGTGAGATATGTACACTTATTTCGTCATGTCGCAGAGAACACTGTGGTGTAAAAGTTGAAAACAGCTAACATCATAAATTTACTGAGAACCATACTGCGCTTCACCTGGTTATTTTGTGTAGGTATTTGGTGATCTTATCAAGATGTGAACTGTAATATGGATTCTTCGAAAAAGCAACCAGGTCAAGAAATTACTTCAGAAGACCTTCTAATCAGGTTGTATTGGTCTTATTGCGGTGGTACTGCTGCAATGAATAGTGATGGTCGAATTGATGACCATTTATAACGAGGCAGAAATTCATAACAAACAAAATGTTATTGAATTCACTTCCTTAATTTTGTTTACCATAGGGTTTGAATGACTAAAAGATGTGAGGTAATCACGCTTAGAAACACGGTAACTAAGAAAGTCCACAACACATGTTAATTAACTGTCTGTTTTCCGTGGTTTGTATGCCTCTGATTGAACCTTGCAGTGCAACGTATATTCCATGGGGTCAGCTTTAACAAATACGTTCCCCCCTACCCCTGTAGTTTCTTGTTTATAATCCGATTGTGTTGTGGGCTCGTATTATCGATATCAGAAGGCGTGTGCTGCCATATACTGTTTCGGGTCAAACATAGACGGGGTTTTCAATCTTGGATGGCAGCCTCCAAACTAACTGAGACTGGAACTTATTGGTCATCGCAGTAGTGCTTGTTTATGCTGCTGAGTTTTCAGAGTACTCACTTCTGTTTGCAGGACTTATATTTTCTGTGTTGTCTTATTTCTTGTTCTTGCTTCTATTTCTCATGGAAGGTGTCAAGCCACAACATTTATCCACCGGCCACTCTTTGTTGTTATCTCAAAGTATATGACGTCCAATTGCTTTAATTTATCTGATACATCAAAATCATCCTCATCAAGTACTGCATGTTTGTTCCTTTGTTTCTGAAGCTGATCCGCCAATACTGTTTCATATCGTTCTAGGTTTCCGGCCAGTAGTTTGTTTGCTTCCTAAAGGTGTATGGTCTCACCAGTGGTGGTTTGACACTTTTCCCGGGAAACAAACGCAGACTTAGACCACACCATAGATATCGTTCTGTTTGATGACAGTGCATAGGCAGTGCAAATCGTGTTATACCTCTTGGTGATCGAAACACCGCAATATGTTACGTGTTTTGCATCGTCTAAGTGAAAAGATCCCCCTCAAAAGTAGGAGGGATCTGTCCCTGTGGTCACTGTAGATTGTAGTTTGGATGTAGTCGAAAGTTTTGCATTTCTTGGGTTGTATCACAGCTGGAGATTGTGTTGTAGTGGAGATCAAATTATTTATCGCCAAAACACGGCTGATTTTCGTTAGTCCTAAGCATCTCGGTTTGGGATGTGAAGTACAACGTCGTCTCACGCACAGTACTACTTCACGGTTGCCACATCTGGTCGCTGCGCGTTGATGAAGTTTGCGTCTTACTTGTTTTTGACGATCGTTGACTGTGGTGCTAGTGATGTGTGATCGTAGTACCACGTCAATAGTGATCACATTCATTGACAAGTATTGAGAAGTGATGACCCCCCTACATGCAAAGCGGTTTAATTTCATTTATTAAGGTGAATTGAATTCGTTTTACGCATGTTTATCAAGTGCCACCATGTCGCGGTTCGCTTGCACCATCTAGATGTGACGCAAAAAGATAGTACGGTGGATGGTCCGTGACTTAGCGGTGGTTTTGAAGAAAGTTCCACCTAGTTGGTTCTCCGTCGAGGCTGTGCGAATGTTATTTGTCTCCGATCAGAGACACAGAAGATCGTCAGCCGAAATCAATGACGAGATTGTTGTGGATGTGCTTGGTTGTTGATGTTGACCACAGTGCCTTCTGTAGAATGGGTGAAGTCCAGAAAAATAAAATAATTCGAATGCGTTTGAAATTGGTGGGTGTTTTCTTTCTTTCCTTCGTTATTGTTGTATCTTGTCTAAGTTTTTATGCCCGCCTCGTGTTCCCTTTTATTTGTTGTGTTCGCCTCGTGGTCCTGCCTAAACAATCAGTCAGTTCTTATACGTCTATAATACTATTCGTATCCACCAATAATCATGCACTTATTAATAATATATATCATAACAACATACCACACAAATCACATATATACAACCAGCTTATATATATATATATATATATATA